GCTGGAGGTACAGGAGGTACTGCTAGAGGTGCTCGAGGTGCTGCTGGTGCTTGAGGTACTAGAGGTGCTGCTGGTGCTGGAGGTGCGGGAGCTACTAGTCCTAGAGGTGCTACTGGTGCTGGAGGTGCTGGACCTACTTGTCCTAGAGGTAGAGCTGGTGCTGGAGGTGCTGGAGGTGCTGCTGGTGCTAGAGGCGCTGGAGCTAGAGGTACTGGAGGTGCTGGATCTGCTGGTACTGGAGGTGCTTGTACTGGATGTGCTGGAGCTGCCGGAGCTGGTGGTGCTGTTAGTGCTAGAGGTGCTGGGGGTACTGGAGCTGCTGGCACTGGAGGTGCTGGTGCTACTGGTGCTGGAGCTGCGGGAGCTGCTGGTCCTGGAGGTGCTCGTACTAGAGGTACTGGAGCTGCCGGAGCTGGTGGTGCTGTTAGTGCCGAAAGTGCTACTGGAGCTGCTGGCACTGGAGGTGCTGGCGCTGCTGGTGCTGGAGGCGCTGGAGCTGGAGGTACTGGAGCTGCTGGAGCTGCTGGTCCTGGAGGTGCTCGTAGTAGAGGTGCTGGAGCTGCCGGAGCAGGTGGTGCTAGAGGTGCTGGAGGTGCTACTGGAGCTACTGGCAGTGGAGGTGCTGGAGGTACTGCTGGTGCTAGAGGTGCTGGCGCTGCCGGAGCTCGTGGTGCTGCTGGTGCTGGAGGTGCTACTGGAGCTGCTGGTGCTGGAGGTGATGGTGCTGCTGGTGCTGGAGGAGCTGGAGCTGCTGGTACTGCCCCTGCGCTGACTTTTTTTCTACCCGCACCCGCAGTCGTCCCTGCCGCCGCCTGACTCGGTCCTTCGCCATGTTCTTAGTCTCCCGTCTTCCACTGGCCTCACTCCACCTCTCCTGTGTCCACCGATAGACCACTCGTAGCCGCTGCTTCTGCGTGGCTCCCTGTTGCGCTCCTGCTCCCCAAAGTGAGGTGACTGAGTCCCTGACTGAGCGTCATGAGCCCGAGACTCGTGCTTCCACACATGTTCATGCTCGTCGTATCGCTCGTCTTCGTCCTCCTGCTGTCCCAGGCACTCACAGTATGGCACTTCGTCCTTCCTCTGTTCCACAGCGTGTTGTCCTGCCTGAGCCTCCTACGTCCCCTCTTCCACACAATCCTGACCCTGAGTCCGACCTTGCTCGTGCTACCAATCCTACTGTCACTCGTCTCCTTGCTACTGTCGTCACTGACCCTGACTTTGAGTCTACTGTTGCGTTTGCGCTAGTCACTGAGCTAGTCGACTTTGCAGCAAGGAGTCGTCTCAACCACGTCGCGAGTCTTGTCACTGAGTCTGATTCTGTCTGCCCTCCGTCCGTCGGGGGTGAGCCTGCCCTTAGCAGTGACGTCCTTAAGGACACGCTGTTTGAGCTTGCGTGTCTTGCGACCACTTTACCTCGTTTTGCATCCATGCTGCATTGCCCTGAGGGAGACCCGGATGCACTTGACATCCCTACCCCGCACTCTTACCCTGAGGCGATCGCGGGTGAGTACTCCTCTCAGTGGCAGACAGCCATGGACGCAAAGATGACTTCCTGGAAGTCCACAGGCACCTACGTCGACGAGGTTCCTCCTCCTGGGGCGAACATAGTCGATAGCATGTGGATTTTCAGAGTGAAGCGGCCGCTGGGTTCTCCGCCTGCCTTCAAGGCGCGTTACGTTGCTCGAGGCTTCAGTCAGCGACAGGGGATCGACTTCTTCCATACCTTCTCCCCCACCTCGAAGATGACTACTCTTCGGGTGCTGCTGCACGTTGCAGCACAGCGTGACTCCGAGCTGCACTCCCTCGACTTCTCCACAGCTTTCTTGCAGGGCAGCCTTCACGAGGAGATCTGGCTGCGCCGCCCACCTGGCTTCACTGGGTCGTTTCCTGCAAGTACCCAGTGGAGCCTCCGGCGGCCAGTCTACAGTCTCCGCAAGGCGCCCCGAGAGTGGCACGACACACTGAGGACTACACTTGCTGCTCTTGGGTTTGCTCCTTCCTATGCTGACCTGTCGCTGATTCTACGCACCTACACTACCCTGCCGCCGTTCTACATTCTCGTGTACGTCGACGACTTGATTTTTGCTACTGCTGACACTGAGTTGCTGGCCCTATTGAAGGCGGGGCTGTGGGAGAGACACACCTGCACTGACCTGGGTGAACTGCGTAGCTATCTTGGCTTGCAGATCCCCCGGGACAGAGCACGGCGCACCATCACCCTGACGCAGTCACACATGGTGCACCAGGTCCTTCAGCGCTTCGCCTTCCAATTCTCCTCGCCACAGCCCACTCCTCTGTCTACCGGCCGGTTGCTCTCAGCTCCACCTTCGGACGAGTCCGTAGAGCCGAGTGGTCCGTACCCAGAGCTTGTGGGTTGCCTGATGTACCTGATGACGTGCACACGACCTGACCTTGCGTACCCTCTCAGCCTCTTGGCTCGCTACGTGGCTTCCGGTAGACACCGAGAGGTGCATTGGGATGTTGCGAAGAGGGTATTGCATTACTTGTGATGTACATTGGGCATGGGGCTCGTGCTTGGAGGACGGGGTTCAGTGGTACTCACAGGACACTCCGACGCTTCTTGGGCCGATGACAAGGCGACTCAGCTCTCGTGGTTCTGGTTACACCTTCAGTCTTGGCTCTGGTTCTGTCTCGTGGAGGTCCACTCGTTCTTCTTCTGTGCTTGGTTCCAGCTGTGAGGCCGAGATCTACGCTGAGGCCATGGCTGCACAGGAGCTACTCTGGCTGACCTACCTACTGACCGACTTGGGGGAACGGCCTCGTTCTCCTCCAAATCTGTACATCGACAACAAGGCAATGCTTGCCTTGTGTCGCGAGGAGAGACTGGACCACAGAACGAAGCACATTGCTCATCGCTACTTCCTTACGCGTGAGCTGCAGCAGTGTCGTCAGCTCCGCCTTTCCTACGTGACCTCGCGGGCCAACACTGCTGATGTGTTCACCAAGGCCCTTGGGTCTGGTGATCATCAGCGTTTCTGCACTGCTCTTAGGCTTGTGCCCACTCTACCTCACCTGCTGGTTGCTTGAGGGCGTATCTTTGGTTCCGGTCATGAGCACTGTTCATTCAACTGTTTGGGGCATCCGCATTTAGCGCATGACCCAAAGTGGACTCTGGAAGCGCCCGCGGTTCGAACTTCGGGTCATCCAGGAAACTGCATGCGACTGGGGTGTTCAATGTGTCCCTACCAATCAGATTGAGCTGCAACCCCAGGTTGGGTCGCCCTCTTTAGACGGACGTTTACTTTCATCTCACGCCCGTCAATGTCCCATCTACACCAATAACGTCCAACACTTCCAACTACAACTGACGTGACCACGCTCACCAAAACAAGCCCCGATACCACACCACCTCTCGCTCTCCCACGCTCCGGACGCCATGTTTACAAGCACAAGGCGGCTCCACAGCAAGTTTCCTTTCTCCCACCGCGGTGCCAACGTAGCGGGCGACTTGAGAGCACTTTTCAGCTCAAGATGGCCGCATGCATCTTTCATCGTCGCTAATCGTGTTGCCATAAAACATGCTCACAGCACAGGTGCTCATACTTTGTATTGCCTTACACCTGTGGCATGGAGTACCTTCTCAACTCGTGGCAGCGTGTAGTTTCTTTAGCCGCTGTAGAGTGGATATCCACACTCCTCCCTATGGCACAGACCGTGGATCAGGAGCGCGTGCTCCGTGAAACCGAGCGCCGCGGACATGTGTCCACAGCGGAATGTACCCTAAATGAAAGCATACGTATAGCTAAAACAAATCACGCACTAATGGAGGGCAGAAGGGCCATGCTATTGGCCTTCAGTGTAGGGAAGGGTCAATCTGGGCTGCAGGTTTTACAAATTACAAGACACTGTCGAAATTAATCAGCTCTGCATGCAACAGGGTGGTATGAGAATTAATCAGCTCTGCATGCACGGGTTGCCGAATGGGCCGAGGAGATCCGCGCGATGTTTGACGAGGAGTTCGAAGATACCTTCCGCATTACGCGCGAAGTTCTCGACATCATTGGTGACAAAATGAAATTTCCAATGTCTCGTTTTGTCGAGGTGGCCGAAGTTCCATTGCGTCTTTGCTGTCTCATCCCGATTAAATACTTTGCAAGTGCTATGACGTATCACGACATGAGTATCATGTTTGGACTGTCCAGAGGACTCATCCACCGCGTGGTAGATGCCTTCTTGGTGTGGTTCCCCCGCAAGTTCAAGCGCGACTGGGTTCAGTTCCCACCGGAGGAAGTGAGAGAGGAGATGGCACTCGACTTCCGCGCAATCAAAGGAGTGCCCAACGTCATCGGTGCGATTGACGGGACACACATTCAGATAAAGGGCATGGAGGCCCACCGTGGTGACTATTTCAACCGCAAGTCGGTCTATAGTGTGCAACTTCAAGTTACATGTGACTCAAAGGGTGTCATATGGGATTACATGGTTGGCAATCCTGGCTCAATGCATGATCAAGGTGTTTTCTCTACATCAGATCTTCATGGCAGGCTAGAGAGTGGGGAAATCGCCCCCTATCAGCTTGTGGGGGATGCGGCCTACCCTCTGAAGTCCTACATGCTCACCCCCCTTCACGCTCCACGACGACGCCTCATAAAGAAGTGGGAGCAGACGTACAACTACGTCCAGTCTGCTACGCGCATGGTGGTCGAGCGCACGATTGGCGCACTGAAGGGATGCTGGAGGCTCTTCGCGCGCAGGCATGAGAGCAAACTCTGGCGCGTTTGTGCAGGGACGGCCTGCATCATCATCCTACACAACATGCTGCAGACCGTTAGCACGCCCAGGATGAAAACGAACAACCCCCGCCGCTATATATGGGCTGGACTCCCAAATGGCTGGTGGACGAGGAGTGGCATGGATAAGTACAAGTGGCGGAGCCTAGACAACCCTACGCTTGCCGAGCTGCGCGCTCGCCGGCACCACTTCGGCAAGCACATCCATCGTGCTTACCTCCGGCGTCACCGTGTGTCATCCACCGCGTGCTAAGGCTCGTGCTGCTCCGCCACATCCTCCGACCCCGCCATGTTGGCGTCGCTTGCGTCTGTAGGCGGTGCTGGTGGCGGCGTAGTCGTGGGCGCCGCAGGTGGTACAGGCGGACTGGCCATCTGCTGTCGTAAGCCAGCCTGCATCGCCGCCATGTTCATGGCGGCGACAAGTAGTTGCGTGGAGTCTTGAAGCTGGCGCAACGCCATCGCGTTGGAGGAATGAATGGCGTCGCTCACAAGCTTAGCTGCTGCCATTGTGGCGGTTTTGTCTATCCGCCTTCGTTTGGGTGGAGGTGTAACTACAGCATCTGTAGGGGTGGGTGTAGGGACGTGTGGCAATAAGGCGGCTTTGATGTTTGTTTGTATGCTTGTCAGTGAAATATAGTAGTAAAGAGCATGGCTTTAATGTTGCTACTGAGAGTCACTGGGCAGGCATTGAAGCATTGGCACAACTCACCTTGTGTTGCCGCTCCACGTCGGTTTCCGCGTTGACATCCCTGCGAGGGAGGAGCCGAGGTCTCCCCGACGTTGGTGCCAGGCACGGTAGCGTACGCAGGGACGTCAACGTTTGCGGCACCTCCTCCGTCCAGTGCGTGGGCATTGGCTTTAGCCGAGTGTTTCTTGAGATGATAAACGTGATCCCACCACGGCTTCTTCCTAATAGCTTTCCCCCCGCTTTGCGTCTCCGACCGTTTCGTTTTCACGTACTCTTTCTCGAGACGTTTCCACGCATTCGACATCTGCCCCTCATCGCGGTCCCATGTGTCGTCCCTCTCAACCATATGAGCTCGCAACTTCTTCCAGTACTGGCTCCCTTGCTTCCCTTGCATCGCCTTCAGGTCGTCCTTCGTGTTCCAACGAGCGGCCGCGAGTGATGTCAGCTCTGCGTCCGACCACACTCGCTTATTGCGCTTTGCCGGCGGGCGCTTCTCCTTCTTCGATCGACGTGTGCTGCGGTCGTCACTGCTTCCTGCTTCGGCACCATCCGAATCTTCCTCTTCGTCGTCACTGCCGGCCTTGTAGTTGTCGGAATCGGCATCACTGTCCGATTCCGACACAATCTCCTCAAGATCGTCGTCGCTGACGTCCGTGTCGCCCCCAGTTTCGTCGTCGTCATGCCCAAGACCGCTGCTAGTGCTGGCGCCAGCAGAGTCGCGCTTTGCCTTTGCAATACGCTTGATGGAAGGGGACGGCTTCCCCTGATTTTGCTGCTCCTTCATCCATGCGACATACGGGGGGTCTTCCATCGGTTCATCGTCGCTAAGTTTCTCCTTTCCCTTGCCGCGTGCGCTTCGACGTGGAGGCATTGCTAAAAACGTAGATAGCGGGCTGGTGTGGAAGCTCGGGAAGACTTATGAGGGAGATCTGTTTGCTCATGCTTGTGCTGATTGCCCAACTGCTGGAAACCCTTGCGTGGGGAAGTTGCAAGAGGGGTGTTTGGTTGGGTTGGGATCTGGAGCCGCACAGATCTGCATGTAACTCTACCCACCGGGAAATTTGACGGAGTTGAGGGTGGAGTGAGTGTCGCTCAACCAGATGAAGGAGTTCGTGTGTCATGGAATGGCGCGTCTCAATTGGATGCGACTGTCGTGGGGCCCGAATTTTAGGCGGGAAAACCCACGCGCCAGTTTGGGGGTCGCATGAAGGCACTGGATCCAAAGTGGTGTTTTGTGTTGTTTGAGTCATCCACAAAATGCGGATGCCCGGAACAGTGCCCATGACCGGAACCAAAGATACGCCCTGACTTGCTCTTGTTGTACACTGATATATATCTTTATACCTGCTTGTTTACTCTTGCTAGGTTGTGATCAGTGTACTGCCTTGCTATTATAACTCTGCATGTGAACTGGCCTTGTGGCTGCTTACTTGTGCTCAGATTGTGTGGTGTTCTTGAGATCCACCCTGAGCTTTGCTTTGCTTTGTTCTCTTGCTTGACATGTCTTGTGACCGTCTGTTGTGTTTGCTCTCTCCCACTTAGCCTATAGGGGTGTGTCAAACTGTATGTTTGTGTTCTCTCTAGGCTATAGTGGGTTAGCATACGAGGGGTACAACACTTTAGGGTTAGTACTTGTACCCAACTCATTCATAGTTCATTCATCCCTGCACAGTTATTCTGACAGCTAGCTCCCTCCGCAGGCTCCATCATCGAAGGTACACCGAGAGCAGACAGAACGGAGGGCTTTCTGTCGGAATACTGAACAAAAATGTTTGAATTGAGATAGAACTGAGTACAAGTACTAACCCTAATTGGGTTGTACCCCTTGTAGGCTACCCCACTACACTCTACACAATATGAGCATTATAACAGTCTGACACACCCCCATAGGCAAATTGGGGGATAACAAGTGGTCACTGTCAAACTCATATGCTATAGTCTGTGTAGGCTGTAGTGGGGTAGACTATATGGGGTACAACATTTCTAGGTTTTCCTACTTGTACCCACCTACTTGCTAGTTCATCCATTCCTCATTCTTCACATGGTATAGAGCAGGTTCCCTCGTGGGAACGCGTCTCAGGGCCCACCACCTAACTCGATCTTTTTTTTTCCTGCCCGAGGCGTGCCCCGTAGGCCGCCCTCACGTCGCGCCCTCCTAGAGGCCCCTCGCGCCACCCCTTAGCGGCCCCGTCGCCGTCCTTAGCGACCCCGTCGTCGCCCCTCTAGGCCCCTCGTGGCCCCTTCACGGCCCCGTCGCCGCCGCTCTAGGCCCCTCGCGGCCCCTTCACGGCCCCGTCGCCGCCGCTCTAGGCCCCGTCGCCGCCCCTATAGGCCCCTCGCGGCCACTTCATGGCCCCGTCGCCGCTCCTAGCGGCCCCGTCGCCGCCCCTCTAGGCCCCTCGCGGCCCCTTCGCGGCCCCGTCGCCGCCACTTACGGCCCCGTCGCCGCCCCCTCTAGGCCCCTTACGGCCCCCTTTGCGGCCTCGTCGCTGCCCCTCTAGGCCCCTTGCGGCCCCTCTGCGGCCCCGTCGCCGCCCCTAGCGGCCCCGTCGCCGCCCCTGGAGGCCCCGTCGCCGCCCTTCGCGGCCACCTCGCCGCCCTTAGCGGCCCCGTTGCCGCCCCTAGCGGCCCCATCGCCTCCTCTACCAGCCCCTTCACCGCTGAGCCGCCCAGCAGCTGAGCAGCCGAACCACCCAGCAGCCAAGCCGCCCAACAGCCGAGCCGCCCAGCAGCCGAGCCGCCGAGCCGCCCAGCAACCGAGCCGCCGAGCCGCCCAGCAGCCGAGCCGCCCAACAGCCGAGCCGCCGAGCCGCCCAGCAGCCGAGCCGCCGAGCCGCCGAGCCGCCCAGCAACCGAGCCGCCGAGCCGCCCAGCAGCCGAGCCGCCGAGCCGCCTTGCCGTCGAGCCGCTACTGTTCCTACCGGCGCGCCCCGGCCCTACTTACTCGGACTGGTGAGATCACTCCCTGGTAGGCCACTGCAGTCATGGCTACCCCCAGTGTCCTTACCTTTGATGCTGAGGGTCGTGCTGTTGACTTTGAGGTCTGGGTCGATGACCTCCAGCTGTTCCTACAGTGCGATAGGGCTGACGGACTCTCCCTGGTCGATCTCACCTCTGGTGCCTCTCCTGCCCCGCCTGCTACTGCTGACAGCACTGTTCGCTCACAGTGGGCCACACGCGATGCTGCTGCCCGTCTTGCTGTGCGTCGCCACTTACCGACCACTGAGCGTGCGCACTTTAGCCAGTACAAGAGTGCTAAGACCTTGTACGACGCTGTAGTTGCACGCTACTCCTCCCCTGCCACTGCTACGCTTAGCCGCCTCATGCTACCGTACCTGTTCCCTGACCTTGCTGCCTTTCTCACGTCGCTGACCTCATTACGCACCTTCGCACTAGTGACACTCGCTACCGCGCTGCGCTTCCTGCTGAGTTATGTGCCAAGAACCCCCCCCCCCATGTACATCACCCTCTACTACATAGTCACCCGGCTCCCTGACTCCCTTCGCTTAGTCAGGGACCACTTCCTCTCAGTTTGCCCCACCACACTCACCGTTGACCTCCTCGAGGAGCGCCTCCTAGCAGCAGAGAAGAGCATAGTCGTTGTAGGAGCCTCTCGTGGTGACCCTCGCACCCCCGTCTTTGAGGGGTGTTCCCCCTCCCCCCTCTTGCCCTCTGTTGCTTCTGCTGCTGCGGCCGACCTCGGTGGTTTCGAGTCGGTCGGCGCTGCGTCTGCCCCTAGCGGGAGACGCCGCACCGGCAAGGGCAAGGGGGGCAAGGGCGCTGGAGGGGCTGGCGGGGGCGGTGGAGGTGGTGGTGGAGGCAGTGGAGGGGGTGGGGGTGGTGGTGGGAGTGGAGGCGGGGGTGGAGGTGTCGGTGGCAGCAGTGGAGGCGGAGGAGGCGGCGGCGGTGGCGGAGGGAGCGGAGGCGGCGGAGGTGGCGGAGGCGGCGGAGGCAGCGGTGGAGCTGGTCGCGGCTCTGCGCAGAGGAGTGGCTCCGGTGGTGGTCCGCGCCAGCAGCAGCAGCGCAGTCGTGAGACCCCGTCCCCCCAGCAGCTTCGTGAGTGGTACGCTGGGCGTCAGCGAGGTGGGGGTACTGGTCCCTGCACCTACGTCCTCCGTACCGGCGACCGCGCTGGTGAGCAGTGCGGGGGCCCGCACTCCACCCAGCGCTGCTTCGGCCGCCTGACGGACGCGTGGCGTCACCAGTTCCCTGACGCCCCTGAGATCCCTCGCTGGGGAGAGCTGTCTAGGGCGGGGGTTGCTATCTTTGATCTTGATTATGATGCTATTCTTGCTGCCATGTATGCTGTGTCTACTAGTGATGAGGGTGACTGTTACCTGTGTGTTCCGCCTGACCCGGGCATTGAGGCTGCTGCTCTAGGTGCTGGTGAGGCTGCTGCTCTAGGTGCCAGTGCGTCTGCTGCTCCAGGTGCTGGTGAGTCTGCTCTCTCAGGTACCCCGTCGGCTCAGGCCTTACACACCTTCACCCTTGACTCGGGTGCTTCCCGCTCCTTCTTTCGAGACCGCACCACGCTTACGCCGCTTAGTCGGCCGGTTGCGGTCTCCCTGGCGGACCCCTCTGGGGGTCCTGTCCTTGCTAGCTTCTCCACTGTCTTACCGTGCCCGGCAGCCCCCTCTGGCACCCAGTCAGGTCTCTACCTCCCCTCATTCTCTACGAACTTGGTGAGTGGAGCTGATCTACAGGATAGGGGGGTTGACCAGTTCACTCCTGCGAGTCAGCGGGTGACCCACTGCACGTGTGCTCGGACGGGCCGACACTTGGCCACGTTTACCCGTCGGCCGGGGTCGAGCCTGTACACACTGACTACTGAGTCTCCTCCGGTTACTGAGTCTGGTCAGGTAGCTGCGTCGAGTCAGGTGTGTGCTGCAGCGTCCAGGTCTGGTCCTGAGTCTGCGCCCTGCTCGTGTCGTCTCCTGTCCCACCAGACTCTCCTCTGGCACCACCGCCTAGGTCACCCCTCCTTGCCTCGTCTCCGAGGCATGGCCTCCCGTGTCCTTGTCTCTGGTCTCCCCCGGTCCCTACCTCCCCTACCTCCGGGGCCTGCCCCTACCTGCGTCCCTTGCGTCGAGGGGCGACAGCGCGCCGCCCCTCACTCCTCCGAGTTTCCTCCGACAGAGGCTCTGCTGCAGACTCTTCACATGGACGTGTGGGGCCCCGCCCGCGTCCGTGGCCAGGGTCACGAGCGCTACTTCCTGTTGGTGGTTGACGACTACTCGCGTTACACCACGGTGTTCCCCTTGCGCAGCAAGGGTGACGTCACTGAGGTGTTGATCGACTGGATCCGCGCAGCTCGTCTCCAGCTCAGAGAGAGTTTCGGCTCGGACTTTCCTGTTCTGCGTCTGCACTCTGACAGAGGCGGGGAGTTTTCCTCTGCCCGTCTGGGAGCCTTCTGTCGTGCACAGGGCATCCGCCAGACCTTCACGCTTCCGGCCTCTCCACAGCAAAATGGGATTGCTGAGCGCCGCATTGGCATGGTCATGGACGTCGCTCGTACGTCCATGATCCATGCGGCTGCCCCCCATTTTCTGTGGCCGTTTGCGGTTCAGTACGCAGCGCATCAGCTCAACCTTCAGCCCCGGGTCTCCTTGCCAGAGACCTCCCCCACCTTGCGGTGGACGGGGAAGGTTGGCGATGCGTCTGAGTTTCGGGTCTGGGGATCTCGGGCGTTTGTCCGCGACTTGTCTGCGGACAAGCTGTCCCCCCGTGCTGTTCCCTGCGTCTTCCTTGGCTTCCCCCCTGACGCGCCTGGGTGGCAGTTTTACCACCCCACCTCGCGCCGTGTTCTGTCCTCCCAGGACGTCACCTTTGACGAGTCGGTGCCTTACTACCGTCTCTTCCCTTACCGCACTG